TTTACATAACCCCACGTTGCATCACTGTAAACTGGTATAGCGGAGCGATATCATTCATCCGGCGGATTTTCAACGGAAATATCTCACTCGCAAAATGGAGTCGGGAGGAAGGTTCGATTTCGGGTGAAAAAAGCCGGTAATTATCGCCAGACCGTATATTTTCACGAAGGATGTACGTCGTTGACGTAATAAAACCCTAAATAAAACATCGAGACGCGCGCTCGCGTGCGGCTAATGCGAGGAGTGTGTAGCCGGTCTGATTTATCGCGGTATTGAGCTGTAGCGCGATAATATCGAGTACGACGAATTCGACATGCGGCGACGCGCGTCGCTTCGGCGGCGCGACGGATTTAGGCGCGTCGATAAATAACGCCGCCAGGTGCGAGGAGCGAGGACGCCGAAATGTTCGCTCGCTCGCGCGAATGAGTCTTCCACATCGGCGGTACAGGCCGTAAATTAAGGTCAGAGCCAAGAGCGATGTAAGCGACAAATCGTGTGAGAGAGAGAGAGAGAGAGAGAAAAGACAGGGCAAAGAAGAGGCGGGGGAGGGAGAGAGCAAGAAAGAGAGAGAGATAGATGCGAATGGATATGCAAATCACGTCCACGCTTGGCTGTTTACGTCTGTCGATCTATTCGCTACGACGCGCTAGGTCGCTGTCAAAACAGTCCGACGAAATAACGAGAGTGCTGTTGGGTCGCGCGAGCGCTCCGCGAGCGTCGCGTTCAGCCGGAGAGACGGACCTCGTTGCCGAGCAAACTTCATTATAAATAGGAATTTTAACTCGAAGCCGCGGGATCGAGCGGGAGATATTTCGTGCCGAATATGTCAAACATGGTATTTGGGCATCTGGTAAACGTATCGAGAAGAGTCGCGTTTGCATCGTACAAAAACTAAAATATGAGACTAGATATACATGCGAGGGCAAACCAAATGAAATTCTATTATTGTTAGTCCATTGACGATTTTACAAATTGAAATTTCTAAAAATGCATTTCGTTGCTCACGATATATCACGAGGAAAGCAAACCGTAATTCACATTAGCCATATTTAATAAAAACATCTCACGAATTAAAGAGACATGCGAACATTTGAAATTATCACGCGCACTCCATCGTACGTTCCAAGGCAATGTGCTCGCGTTTTATTTAATATGATTGCGACACAGTTTCTCTTTAATATCTCGAATCTGGCTTACATGTGAAACTTCAATCCAAAATGGTCTGACCATTTAATTCGTGCGCTACACGATAAAAAAGGGACAGAAAACAGTCCGGAATTATGCCAGTCGCTATCGTTTTAACGCAATGGTAAAACGAAAAAATGGAGACTTTTATTTCACGGAAAGCAGAATGTTAATGATAACAATAAATAAACAGAGAAATAATCGTAATTTCGACATTTAACGCGCCTATTGATAACGATATCGACGATAATATCGTCGGTAAACCGTTGGAAATTATCGTATATCTGTACGTATAAAAGGCGGAATAATGTAAAAAAGAAAAAAAAAAGAAAAAGAAGGAAAGAGGAAACATCGCACCATAAAAGCGTAATGTTTTTCACAAATCACGCAGCAACAAGGTCAAATCGTATTCAAATGTTTTCGCATTTGAATGTGACAATCATGTACGACGAAATATTCGAAAAGCCGTTGGCGAACAAGTGGTCAAGCCGGAGGGTAACGTGCGCGATACACTGCGGCATACGTTTCAAGGCGATATGCTCGCACCCACCTTCGGGCGGCGCAGGTTATCGGGCTTCCCGATTTAACCTGTACGACCCCGCTGTTAGAGAATCACCTCCCTTCCGAATTTCCCTCATGAAACGATCGGACAAACGTTGCAGAAAACTGCTCGAACCACTTGTTCCATTCGGCGAAGCTTTCGCGAAGCAGACTATCTCCTAAGAAGCTTGTTCCCGTTAAGGGCAACAGAGACAGAGAAAAGGAGAGCGGTACGAGAGAGAATGTTCGTGTGTGTATATATATATATATATATGTATAATGAAACACGCGATATCGCGTAATCGAAATGCCGATTTGACACTATGTAGACAAGTAGATGCTACGAAAGGAATTCTCTCTCGCGATTCGCCTCGCCGAATTGGAGGTTAACCTGTCACTCGACGGCAGATCGATGTTACGGCGCGGTCGGACCGTACATACGTGATCGACGCCGCAGAAACGATATTACATAATTTCTGCCACTCACCTCTCAAGCTGTGGTCGTGCGCGCAACTGCTGTGACGAGTGTCTCGTCTCCGGTGAAGAGATAGCGCGAAGGAGAGACGGTGATTATACAGCAGGAGAAACAGGGAGAGAGAGAGAGAGAGAGAGAAAGAGAGAGAGAGAGAGAGAGAGAGAGAGAGAGAGAGAGAGAGAGAGGGAGACGTGCGGAGAAGAGGCGCGGAGGTCACACACCGTGGCAGCCGATGCGGCCCGACGGCTGCACCACTTGGTTTCGGCCGGTGTACCGAGGTGTAAGAGGGAGAGAGAGAGAGAGAGAGAGAGAGAAAGAGAGAAAAAGACAGGAAGAAAGAGAGAGAAGGAGAAAAACGTCAAACTTTATCACGAGTGCATGATGCGCGAAGCTGCGGGTTACGTACGACGGGAGAGACAAACGAGTACACTCGCGCGGCACCACCGACGACACTCGACGATGACGTCATACCACCGGCGGCAACATGGAACCCGTCCGATACGACGACGCGACGTGGGCACAGACACGATACGGACACGACACGACGTATGACGGTTCCAACCGCTCCACCAGCTCGTGCCGCCTAACCTCGAAACAACGATGATAACCCGCAACCAAGAACAGAGCCAGCCGCAGCGAACGCGCTCCAAGCGCAGCGGCGGCAACGCGCTAACACACGAAACCGAACTGACACGACATCCCGGCCGACTCGAGCCGAGCAGTCCGAACGCGCCTCTCTAGCGATGTGTTCCTATTGGTCACTCGCCCACCACCGGCAACTCAGCGATCTGTTCTTCGGAGCTGCACTTATTGTACTTTCTCGCGATTTTTCTCCGCCGCCACCCTAGTCTCTAGTGTCGAATCTAAAATATTTCGATTCAAGTACAGAAAGTGTGCACTAGAGTGCAACTATGAAAAACAGAATTCAAGTTGCTATCGAGAGCCATTGGTTCTTGGCGAGTCTAAGTCTCTATCATTATCAATGAAATTCGGGTATGATTGAATCAGCCGTTTCATGAGATATTCTCGCTCAGCAGTTGTCTGATAATATTTCGTCACGACGAGCGCGCCAAACTTATTTCGACCCTGTTCGAGACGATTCATGGGCGAAGCTCGCGTCTCAGCGAAGCGAAATTGCAAGACGTCGTAACGCAACAACTTTCTGAATCTAAACTGCCGCGTCGCCATTTTGCGCAATTGAGATACTCCAAGTTTCAAATGCGCGGCTTTACTCGGTGTTTCTGCGAGCCGTTACGCGAACTACTCATTTTCGACGATTATTTTCAACATTACGCTACTTACTTGTTTGCGGCACTCCCGATGATTACTCGCATAGGTATTCTCTTTCGGTGATTCATTATGCACGATGCAGCGATTTGAAATCTGAAACACCGCACGACGTATAACGACGCGTGTCGCGACATACAAAATCTTGTTTGGTAATTCCGCGATGATCTGTTCGCGAGATATTCACCTCAGGCAAATATCCTTTTGCAATATCGCGCAATATCTACCTTCGTAATCTCAATGATGATAATTCGCGCGTGAGACTCATCTTTGGTCAATTGAAACTGCCAAAAATACGACAGCTTCCCGAGTATCAGCTACCAACGCCATGGTCCCTGCCAAAATGGACGAATATAGCGCAATTGGGACATGCGAAGTATCAACGCGTGCAACGTACGCGCATGCGCGCGCGAATCTTCACAGATAGATCCGTTTATTTATTATTATCACAAAGATCGTGGAAAAAGGACCATTTAAAATACTCGCGATAATCTCGATTTCTAATAGGCAATGTTGTTAGAAAGCCTCAATCGCCGATTGTCTCGTATTTTTATCGTTATGTTGGAACTATTTGGATGGAATCGTTTGAAAGTGAGACGCAGTGAGACGTGACGTCACGTGATCCAGCCAATCATGTCGGTTCTCGTGCCGTTACAGTCGTTCGAACGCGGATCGCGATAATTTACTGTTCGTCGTGTCTTTCTCGCGCCGGTGACGATCTTCGTATCGCGGTCGTATATCGGGAGTGCCGAATCTAATAACGGGCGATCATTCTGGCGCATTGTTCGGTTCGCGTGTGCGCGATTAAACGCGATGTCCCTCGATATTCGTAGCCGGGCGTATGTCGTGTAGTGTCGGCAACATGGAGACACAAGATTGACATGGAGCCGATTCGGTCGTTTCTGTTCAACGAGGCAACATTTGGCGCAACATATTACGTTCTCGTACTTTGGTAAGTGTCTTATTGCTGGATATAATCAGGAATGAAATGTTTCGTGACTGCCAATATGAGATTAACGAGGAGCAACGAGACGTTACCGACCGTTTCGACTGTTCGATACAAGTGCCTCGGATGACGATCGATTATAAAATTAATATGTATTATAGATCATCAACATACGTTTATTCAAATATTGGCTGTCTCGTGAGGTCATCAGGTTTTACATATCTTATCGAAATATTCCGTCAGCTGTTCATGTCGCTCAACACTGCTGTTGCGGTGGCGCGAATAGCACTTTACAGCGTTTCGCTCGATCAGTTAGCCGACGCAACCTAACCTAACCTCATTCGATCTGTGTATACTGTGTATATCTCTGATTAGAAGTAAATTTTCCTGGCGTGTTATTGCTTGTTGATTCGCAGTGATCACTTGTATTTTTATCGGAGGATAGCTTGCATACCTAAGCACGCGGAATAATAAGTGGGTTTACACGACACGAATGTATCGCGAATCGTATGTCACGATGTACTTTGAACTAGGAGCAAAGTCTGTACAGCGTGTTCCAAGGTTATCGCGCAATTTTTCGGCAGTTTTGTTCTAAATTGTGCAGCCAACATTTATTTAACAAACATTAGTGACAAGCTATTGGAATTCTGTGACTCGTTGTGTTAAGTATCATTTTGATACTTGATCAAATCTTGAATTGACATTTTGCTAAAATAAAAGAATTTTGTTTATTAATCTTTATTGGTACTTTGAAACTTTTATCAAGACTAGATCAGTTCTACATGAATCGAAGGATTAATATCTAGAACACTCTGTATATGACAGAGAAAGAGATAAATTATCATAACTAGGTTGTTAAAGAAACAGTTATTCATTTTTGCTTGTAATTTATAATGTAAAAGTTATTTCTTTTTTCACGCTATGTTGATTTCTTTATGCATAAATTATTATTATTGTAAATTATTGTAAAGTAAATATTATTTTCAGGTTTACTCGAATGAGCTGACACAATGCCATTGCCCTATGTCTCAAGGATAAACCAGATTGACTCAGCTGAGCTGGACATTGAAATATACAAATTATTGAAGAATGAAGTTAATCAGATTGCCAGATACAATGCACCAGGCAAGTTTGACAAATGGCAGGCAGAAATTGACGCAATACTGAAGATTCTAATATGGAAATTCTCTTTGCAACAAAGTAACTCTACATTTGGCCAACGCCTGCTTAATCTGCATTATATCAACCTCAGTCAGAAGAAGGCCATACTTTACCTGCTTCTAACTGTTTTACCACAATATATAAAGGACAAGTTAGCCAATGAAAATCTCTCGGCTCATGGTGACAACATCCATAGATTGAAGTCACTCGTTGATAGAATTTCAAATGTGATTAGTCTTCTGCAACTCATCAACTTGTTCTTCTTCCTCCATCGAGGCATACAGTCGCGTCTGATAGAGCTTCTCCTAGGTCTGTCCACTCAGTCGATAACGACAAACAAACCTCGAAACATTGGTTACTCTTATATGACGAGGGAGCTGCTCTGGCACAGTCTGATGGAACTATTCACCATCGGTTTACCTATGATAAACTTCCACTACTTGAAACATTTGCTGCGAAAGCTGTGGCGACGTAGAACGATACAACAGAGAGATATAAAGTTGTTGCCAGTAATGGACGTATCAACCAAGTGTGCCTACTGCGAGGAAAATCCAATTCTACCGTCACACGCCGGCTGCGAGCACATCTTCTGCTACTACTGCTTAAAGGCACATTTCACTGCGATGAACACGTTCCACTGTCCCAAATGTGACGTCGAACTCTACACCGGGGATATGAAGAGATATATGGTCGCAACGAGTACTAGCAACGACACGGTGTTAAGTCTCAAAGGACCGACATAGTGCAGTTCTACCGACGCAATCGTATGTAACATTCTTAATTTTCAATAATACCAAAAACTTGATAGTGAAAATAACGTGATCTACAGTAGTGAGCGGATTCTTAATTTATATAATCTATGATTTCGCCAAATAGTATCTCTCTACGATAAGCGAAAGATTCATTATTACGTAAGAGTTAAAATTATATATCTTCGAAAAGAAGAGATTTGTCTGTTCAGTGGTCATATCAATTTATCGCAACATACAAAGCAAAGGTATGACATCGTACGATATGTCGCGTGTATGTTTATATTTTTTATTAAAAATAGCAATACAAAATCTCTTCTTTATTCATTTCAATACATCTTCCCGACTTCGGGTGCTGGACATTCTAGCGCTTTCTTCCTCGCAACAAACAGTAATAATAATATTAATAATAATAATAATAATAATAATAATAATAGATCGATACGATATACCTTGTGGTTTATCAAAAAATTATTTAGATTATCATATAAAAATATTATGCTGCGCTGTATATTATAAAACGCTCACCTACCGTCGCAATGTCGACGGATCATATTTACGCGAGTAATAATTCACATTCATCATTATTAATTTATCGTTTAGTTAGCTGGCTGCACCTGCTTGATGGGCGGGTACGTCCCCGGATTTATTACGAAACAACATCATAAGCACTAGCACAGAAAAACGCGTAACACACACATAAATTAACACTTCCATCCGCCTCCTACGATAATACAAATTTTATTCGAGTTGAAACTTTTATCGATTTTTTCCCTTTTTTTCATTTGGAATGTGATTTATAATACAATTGTATAACGCGGCTGAGCAGAGCGATTTTCTTTTCCAACGAAACCCTATTTGAAAAATATCTCCTTTCTCCATTTCGCAAAAATCCTTTTTTTCTTCTTGCAAAGATTACGTTCCTACTTCCATCTGAGGTAACCGTCTAACATATTTACGCGACTCTGCTCTACTTTAATACTACTAATCTTACATCGCGACGTATATGGAGGAGTTCACCCTAAAAATAAGGCGCACGGAAAATACGACACACAATTCACATGATCTTATCTTTTTTTTATTTTTCATTTTCATCTTATTTTTTAGTTTACTTTTCTTACTTTTTTTGTCAGTTTTTATGTTTACAAATTTTTTTTTTAGATTTTTTTCCATCATATGTATATCCAGATGTATATAATGCTGCCTTGAAAAAAAAAAAATGCAAAAATTTTATCTATCGCTATCATATTCGTGCGTTCTTTTCAGGGTAAACTCTTTAATCATCAACGTTTTTTATCAGCACTTCAATGTCGGTACTGAATTACCCTAAATGTCCTTTCTGTATCGGGGAGTTCGTAATTTTATTTTCGCTCTCGCTTAGACGGAAAGTACAATGAAATTCCTGATGATGATTCTCTCTGAAAGAAGAAAGAAAGAAAGAAAGAAAGAGAGAGAGAACGTAACGCTACGTATTTATCGTATGCGAAGAATTCGTTTTGCATTCGAGGCTATCGATATGTGGGGAGTGATTGATGCACCGTACGTTACAGTTGTTTAATCTAACGTGAAATTCATTTGACATATCTCCTGAAAAAAAGATCTGTACGTTCGTCGTAGCGGTATTTGAAGGCAACACCGCGTCTAAAGTGGTCGTCGTACGCTATAGTTTTCGATTCGCTCGCGTTTTACAGTTCTCCGATCTGGTTTTACAATTCTCTGAACTGATCGTTCAGACGTATATAAATAAAATGAAGTAACGCATTGTGCGTATATAACCACAGGTCGATGGTCTACACCTCGCTTTCTTAAGAATTCAAAGATATTAATCTTAAAATTGAGAAATGATCTTAAACGATACAACAGTTGAATTGAGATGTAGATTACTGGACAATTTAGACATTGGATTTAATACAAATTCAATCTTCACAATTTCGAGATTAATTTTCTCTAGTTCTTATATAGTGGTTATGGTCGTATTCAGATCACTTTAATCTTTCGATTTGAAAAAAAAATGCATCTTCAATTTTATATCATCGAGAAAGTATGTAAGACGCAATAGAGCGAATCTGTCGTTAAAATGAGAAGAGTGACATCGTAAATTGCGTAACGATACGATGATGTGCGCACTTGAAACACTATTAATAATCCCGTAATAATTTACAACGCGTTCTCATAAATGCGGGATCTGTGTCGCGTAACTCCGAGCGAGATCGCAACCGTACATACGCGTTGGCATTCTTACGGTGTCCGCTATCCACGACAATGAGAAAGATTGAATTCTGTCATGTTATTTGCACAGTGCGCAAAAAGTGTCAAGTGAATAGCTACTAGGAGAGAGAGAGAGAGAGAGAGAGAGAGAAAGAATTCGTGAAAAACAAAAATCGCGATGTTGAAATCGTTCTACGCGTGTCTTCTTCTCTCTTCCTAATCATTCTCTCTTCTTCTTCTTCTTCTTCTTCTTCTTCTTCCTCTTCTTCCTCTTCTTCCCACTGTCCGGCAATCATCGACTCGCATCGATTCGCGCGTTCATCAATTCTCGTTAATTATGACGCTCGAGCGCTAGTTAGAAGCTTGTTCGTCGTTGTCTCTTTTTTCTTCCTACGTGCGCGCGTGCACGCGTTCTTCTCTTTAACGCTAATTTCCGCGACTATACATCTATATACCCGTATTCGCTAAATCTCGCACGGGATCAGTATATATTTACGTAGGAACATTGACGGTCTTCTCAAGACTAAGATACATTCTATGCAAAGAAATCGTCGATTTCTGACCGGCGAGATGGACGATCTCGCGATACGATATTACGTAAGTTCTTTATATATACGGTATGGCATACCTTATATATATAGAACGAGGTCGTATATTTACGAAAGTAAATCAAGACAGAGAAAAAGCCGCGATTCGGGCGAATCAATCGTTGCCGAGATAACACTCGAGAAAATACCTTCTTCCTCTCTCTTATCCATTCTGTTTCTGATACGTTTAGAAATATACAAGCCGGTTATCGTCTCGACGAGATGCGCTCTTTTACCGGGCAGAATTTCTTTTGCAACAACGAGCGGGGTATCACAACTTGTCGCGATATAACTCGCTGCCACGAAATTATTATTACTTTCGCTCTCTGCGAAGACACGGGATCTGGGGATCTGCTGATATAATTGCAGGTGTAAAATTGTGTAACGTGAATTCTTCATACATCTGCGGTTAGGTTGAGGATACGATGTAAATCACCTCTGTCCACACGTACACACGCACATATACGCACATTCACATTCTCTTTGCCATTATTATCGCTCGGTCCTCATTACGATCGCATTTGAGGAATCGTAGGAGCTTCCTATGCCAAATTATCATTGAACGAAAACGAAAAACGGACAACAGAATCGAACAGTCCAATATTATATCACATGTAGTTTTTCTTCTTCTTTTTCTTTTTGCGAACACATATCTTCGTAATGTTCCGATCACTCGCGAGCGCACAAACGACAATAATTTACGCTTAAAAAGACTTCGCAAGAACTTAGTCAAGAACTCTTCGCAGTAAAATCTTTCGTTAGGCATGTTCGATCGCGCGATCTCCCTTCCGTCCCTTCCGTCGCGAGTCCATTCTTTCAGTTTTCACGTGGGATTCGTTTGACGATGAACGTCGTCCACGGGATTTATGATTTATGATTACAGATCGTATGATCGCGCGAAGATCTCAAGAGCGAACTGATTTTTCTCCTGTTCTGCAAATAAGTCGAACCTTCCTCGTGCGAGTTCGAGTATCGGCTCGATGCGACTAATGTGTTTCGCATGAACATTGAAATAATTTCCACACTATCTATCGGTTTTTCGATGCGTGCACCAAGAGTTTTTCTACCTAACGCTTTCATTCCTTTGTACCAAAAAAAAAAAATTAACAAAAATTACGCTTAAAAATTCTAATAAATTATGGCGAGAACGAAATATCTTATGTCTATAAAAATCGTTTGCGTTGCGATATAGTAATCGTTTGCGAAATTAACTGTGACCAATGAAGGTCACGCTCCGCGTCCGCGAGGATAACCGGAGGGGATCTAAACTTGGCATACTTGTTATAGTTCTCAGATTCGTAAAGCCTGCGTAAATCATACTTACATATTTCGTCCGGATTATATTATCACATACGTTTACTTCTTGCGTCATAAATATTGTAGAAAGATTAGAGTAAGAGAAACAACAATTTCGAATTTCTGGATCATTCTATTTATAAATTTTACAATTTTTAAAAATATTTTTCGCTATATATATATATAACATAGTTGTTTAAAGAGCTTCTTTTTCCAATTTTGCCAAGTTTAGTATCAAAGCTCACTTATCGTACGATCTACTACTGTTATTCACAATAGAATTCGGGACAGAATTCTAATTCTAATTTCACGTGCTGAGAACATTTGACAATTTTTAAATTATAGGTATATCTGCTTATGTAGATACACGTCTAAATATATATAAATATGTATAAATTCTAATTCATCGAACGTTTCTTCCTCACAGATGTGTAACTCCGTCTCGAACTGTATCGCGAATCGTAAATCGTTCAAAGTGCATTTCACTTCTAATCCTTCTTCGGATCAGACAGTGAAGGGGAAAGATTTACGCGCGCCACCTAATCAGAGCGACGTTTATCGTCACGAATCACACTTTACCCGTTATCGATGCTGGATCGCTTCAATCGAGCCCTCGAAATATCGCTCGCAGCGCACGAAGAGTGACTCACAAAAATATTGCGTTAGAATTCGTTTAACACTGTTTCTGTCTTCACACATGCTTCAACACGAAAAGTTCTTGCGGTCTATTATTTTAACGTGCGTCCAGCGTCTTTCGCGAATAATTAATAAATACTTTGTTACTTTGTAAAACTCGAAATCGCAGCCGTGCAGAGGCTCGTGTGCTCGTTCGAGCCGTTGGCGACGCACGAAATCGAACCGTTGATTCATAGTCATTATTACGAAACACCTTCGATATTTACCGTACCAATTCGACTTTCGGTTACTAGCAATTTATCGAGGGTGCCTTCGTGCACGCGGCGCCGGTACTAAATTCACCGAGCAGGACAGAATATTTCCGAGATACCCATGTCCATTTTCCTGCCCGCCGTTCCTTCGGCGTTTTTAATCAACAATACGAACTCGTTGGCGTACCGTGTGCGGCGGTAATCGATATGCGGCCGCTTGATCGGTTGCTTTCGAGCTTAGTCTGAGTTAAATATGTGAATTTTGCTAGGACGAAAGGCCGCTGAACACACGGGACATCCCTCGCCCATCGCATTTTATTAAATTTCGCCACCGCGCGCTGATACTAATTTACTCAAAAAAAAAAAAAAAAAACACTCTTGCCTGACTTATTCTCTCATACACGTACCCACGTGCACGCACTCTCGATCACACAACATATAAATCAATCGGTCATCGAGCAAAAACTATCACACCCACGCGCGCGCAACATCCGCATCTCATCCACCCACACACACACACACACACACGCACACACACACACACACACACACACACACACACACACACACACACACACACGCACGCATACACACACACGCACACACACACACGCACACGGAAACACGATACAACGAACGCGATAGACGTAATCAGACATGCGCGTCGGCGTTTCGCAACCGTAATAATCGCCGGGCCCGGTGGGTCGATAGGAATATTATCAACGACGGGCGATTTACCGTGACGAAACACGCGTCGCGCACGACGTCGATGCGACACCACGTGTCCATCGGCTGGACAAGGATCACCAGCAAACAGAAATTGCGTATAAGTAGCGAAAGTATTAACCACTTATCTATTTTAAATCTAAGGCACCTTCCGGGCGCGCGCGCCGAGAACAGCGAGAAAAAAAAATTGAGAAAAAAAAAGGATACAACCAGTTCCCGGCCACAAAAACGAAATCCGGCTATCTTCTCCCGTTACCTAAGAAACTTCAAATCAACACATGCAAATCTATCCTAGCTAATCATGCCGTTCTGTCGGCTCAGGCTAGTGCAAGGCGCCCTGACGCTTTCAATTCCCTCTCTTTCGCTCTCAACGCGAATCATCCCATTGATTTGGCGCGATCGGCGTTTTCATTAAGTACGTACTTAATTGATCATCCCGATCGAATTTGTCGTCGCCACGCGACATCCTTCGGTCGACCGCGAGAGCGTTCGGAGCGCTGTGCCGAACGAGTGTACTGCTCTCGATCTTCTCTCTTTTCGACTCTCTCTCTCTCTCTCTCTCTCTCCCTCTCTCTCTCTCTCTCCCTCTCTCTCTCTCTCTCTCTCTGTGTGTGTATGTCTCGCTCTCCTACCATTTGGTGTCCAGATTGCATTTGCCGAGCGACGACGTCGACGCCGACGACGTGGACGCTTTCCGCTCGGCGCCGGGCGCGGCGCTCCCGGAGAACGGACTGACGGTACGTTTGTTCATCTCTGAAAGAGACGGAGACGAGCGTGGTGAAATGATGATCTTGTCGAACAGCGCCACGGAAACGTGTATCGCGCTTGTATCAGCCGAGAACGAGCGGAGAGAATATTCATTCGTTAATAATTACGGCGAAGCGAAGCGAAGCAGCAACACACAAATACAAACACACACACGCACAGCCACACATTCACTTGTACTCTGAAAGCCTTACGTACCGGATATCAACAGCATTATCTTGCGCCTCGCGCCCCAAGCGGTAATTCCGATTTCGCAGAGATCCTTCTCCGTGAGAGAAGGAAAGGTAGCCATGTCCACTTCGTGAGACGTGAACAGGCCTGGCGAACAAAAAGGAAAGAAGAGAAAGAAAACAAAAGCGTTATATTTCGATCAGCTCATGCGACGAAGCGAGCGAGCAGGAGAAAAAAAAGAAAAGCGGAGAGACAGGCGTCGTCGACGTGCGCGACACAAGTAAGACACAAGTGACTGACTGGTCTACTTACGGATATATTTCTCCAGGCCGATGCTGGTCAGCATGCTGGCCAGATCGTTGTAGCGATGGGACGTGATCTTGTTCAAGTGGGAAGTCGGCGTGTGGTCCATGTAATTGGAGGCCATGCCGATCTGTCCGATGCGGTCCTTGCTTGAGATCATACCGAAGTCCATCTCGGTACTGAACACCGGCGTGGTCGGTTCTTTCCACAAGTCCGAAGGGTGTGACGTCAGCTCCTGGATTCAAATAGATAGTTAGGTTAGTTGGCGGCGATGCTTTCCTCGGCAAGCCGTCCGAGGCTCGCGAGTTTACCGATAAACATTTCAGGCGCCAATTCGCCGGGCCAAGAAATTGCATCAACGGAGCCGCCGCCTTTATTAGCCACCTTCGGCCGGCCGCTCCTCCGGGCTGCCGCTTTGCGCCCTGATTATTTCGAATGAATCAGCCGGGGACCCCGGGGTAAATTACCTTGCTCAAGTCACTCGTAGTTATAGGCGGAATACTTTGGCTGAGGCCGTAGCCGGACCAGGCGGAAGTCGGCACGCGGTAATCGCCGCTCGGCTTGCTCTGCATCGCCTTCGCAGCCAGCAACTTCTTCTGCTCGTAGTCGAAGGGCGTGAGATTCTGCTGCGCGGCCATCTCCAGGGTCTTCTTTTCGCAGCCGGGCGCGCGGCGGTCGGTAACCGACAAGTCGGACAGCATGCTGGATAAATCCGCTGAAAAAAAGAAAAAGACAAGAACGAACAACGACGTTCGTCAGCAACTCGGTCGATTCTCATCTCGGAAGATCGTAGCTGATTCCGAGCTCAAAAGTTTGAACTCACCTAAGTTTGGACTAGTATCCGTAGGATTCACTGGTGAAATATTGCGAGGACTGATAGCGGGACTAGATAGAGAGCTGGACACGCTACTTAGCGACGAGTAAGCTGCAAAGACATTCGCGAGTAACATTAGAGAATCGCAAGAAAGAAAGAAAGAAAGAAAGAAAGAAAGAAAGAAAACAACGAGAGTCGGGAAGGTGGAAGAAAAGAAGCGGAAGTAGAGCAACTCACCACTGCTACCCTCTTTGCTATCCGTCATCGAGTTAGTATTCAGACCATGGATACCAGGAAAGTTGGTCGACGCGTTGTGGTGAAACGGCCCGAGGCCAGACATCACGTGGTTTGACATACCATGGGGATGAGGCATCATATTGTTGTGCAGCATGTGTTGTGTCGTCAGTAGGTGGTTCAAGTGAGTGTAGGGGTACGGGTGGTGCGTTCCTAGCGGTGAGAACACGGACGGAAGATGAGGGAGGCCCCAATGCGGCGACAGTCCCATAGGATTCGGTGAATGAGGAATGGGCGACACGCAGTACGGCGAATTCTGCGTGTTTATGGTCAACATGTTCGAGAAGTTGTCCGGCACGCTGCTCATCAGATTGCTGGAGCCTAAACGGAGCGAACGGGACGAGTGTGCGAGATAGCTTTTAGCGATTTCCGTCTGGATCCCGCATGAAATTCGCATCGAGACATGAGAAATACAATAATAGTAGTAGTAGTATAGAATGAAAACTGAAGAAATATAATAATACACGACGCGAAATGATCTCCCCCTCTGCCGGGTGAATCTAAATCGACCACGGCGTCGAGCTCTCGTTCTTGTTCGATGGGGCGATTTATCTCGACACTCACTGACGTCGTTGTTGTTGGAATTGCCTTGGAAGATACTGCCAGCGTTTGGAATGTGGTAAGTGGCCGGTATCTCGGCGTGGACCCTGGGCTCGTCCAATCCGAGCAGCTGCTTCCGCGCCTCGTAAATGTTGCCGGCGTTCCTCTCGATTCCCTTGATGATCACCGAGAGCGTGCTCTGCTTCGGCTTGTGACGGATATTAATGAACACATCCAAGGACTGCATGAGCTGGGAGATCTTTTCGGTGTCGACAGAGGCGGACACAGAGTCCTCCGGAAGATCGAACATCAGCACCAGCGGCAGTGAACCCTGGTAATAATATGGAAATGGGATAATAATCGTCGACGTGCGTGTTATATCGTGAAAAAGCGCGATTTCTCGATTTCTCGGCGGGCTTGGATGATATATACAAGAAAGAAAGAAAATGGAGATTCAGCATTAACGGAATTAACGGAGACGGAGAAGAAAAACGCTGATCAGCCGCTCTTACCACTAATTGTTGCCGAGCCAAGTAAACATTGTGTATGGCGCCAGTGATGGTGACGTTGCTCTTCTTGAGGCTGGGTATATTCGGATCGCCGGCATCCGGGAACATAATCTGCGTAGCGGTTCGCTGCATGATCATCTTCAGATTGCTGCTCTGCTTCCCTAATACGATGCTGTGGTGCTGGGGTGAGATCTCCATCGACATTTGTACTTGAATTTGACTCTAGACGGGGGGAGGGGGAGGGGGAAAGAAGAAAGAAAGTTTCGCAATCAGTTGGCGAACGACGATTGAACGGCGGTCGCGATCGATCCCTCAATCGTCGCAGTTCACACTCACAGCTAGGTTTTTGCACATGTAACGAATCAGCAGAACCGTCGCCTCCTTGACCTGGGAAACCTCCCATTCGCAGCCCTTGACGACCACCAGAGTGGCGTGCAGCTTCGGTCTCGTGCGAAACATGACTTGGACGTTGTACTTCTCCTGTATCTTCACCACGTACGGCGAAGTGCAGTCCGGAGTGCTCTGCGACGCGCCCATTATCGGCAGCTCGAACGAGAAGATCAGGGGCGTCAGATTCTGAAAGACGAAGACGACGGTACATGAGTCTCTTCGGCCGGCAGGAGAACTCGAGCAGCGCGGATCTCGGGGCGCGGGGCCAACGGCGGGGGCAGCCTCACCCTGACGCGAGCACGGGCACGTTCGACGCCCTCCATCTCGCCAGCAATGGAAACCTGATTGCTCTTGTCCTGGTGATTGCTGCGGTTGCTGTCTGGGAAATGAATGTGGCAGCCGGTTTCCTCCATCACCCGCTTGATCGTCAGACCGCCTTTACCGATGATATGCGAATGGTCGGTGTAGCTGACGTCTAACTTCATGGTCACTCTGTTACTTTGCTGCAAGCCGAAGTCGCGCGTATTTATCACACCGTATCTCTCTACCTCGGTGACGCCACACACCGATCACGTGAACACTTAGGCCGCGCTTAAATAATAAACTAGCGATACAATTCGACGAGGTAGCAACGAGATTCTCGATCGATCCGATCGTATCCGATATTCGATGTAACGATCAAAGCAGACTCGAGAGACGCCGAAAGGAAACTTCATCCGAGACTCGACTTGAGCGTAACGACATAACGAATTCATATCGAAAGTCGGAACCTGTCGCTGCAGAATCATTCGCTGAAATGTTTGGCGCGAATCGAGTCCGCGAACTGACTGGCTTGATTCGAGAAATGCAAATTGGCGAGAGAGGGAAGGCAGGCATTCGATCGATGATACCGATTAATTTGACGAACGAGCGACGAGTCTCCTCGTCTTCACGACGATCTACCATAAGATTGTCGCGAGCAAGAGAGAGGGCGAGAGGGCGGGAAAGAGAGATTAACTCGGCGATCGGCGAGGGATCACTGCCGTCGCAGAGAAAGTGCGCGCATCCTCCGAGATAGCATCTCTTACATATTTATCTCGCCGAGCATAGATTATACATTCGCGTTACGTTTCGCACGAGCGTGGTAGGATATATCTTCCTCTCGGAGCGAGCCGTATTTCCGCCATGAGATCGAGCGTTCGTCGACTCCGCGGTGGCGTGAGCCACGCTCCTCGGAGCATATCGCGAAACGAGTCGCGCTCGCACTCGACATGCGCGATTTTAAATATCGCGTGGCCGAGCGTTACATAAAGTCACGCGATAGCGTCGCGAGTCAGCGAGGTGATCCGGTCGCGCGATTTCAGAAATCCCCTCCTGCGGCCGCGGAGAACGAGTCGTCGTCGTCGTCGCCGTCGCCGTCGCCGTCTTCGGTAATATCGTCCCGTTCCAGAAAGACTCGCGAGACTACATGAAATTCAGGACATCGATACATCGACACTTTGCCGAGATATTGGATGTCCCGCGCACGTGTCCGACTACTTCTATAAATACCGTCACGCTATTTATGCGCCATTCGCGTTCCGTAATTAGCGCTATACAGCGCTATGCTATCCCACCCTGGTGTGCGCTTTTGACGCAGAGAAAGAGAAGGAGAGAGAGAGAGAGAGAGAGAGAGAGAGAGAGAGAGAGAGCTTGGGGTCTATTTTAAAACGCGGTGCATAGCGAATTCGCGGATTGCGACGCGAGCAGATGGACGAGGATGAGGAGGAAGAGGAGGAAACGCGCGATTCCCATTCCCGAAAAGCGAGCGCGCGAGATTATCCTCGTTTCTCGGCAAGGGTACACACGCGCCTTTCACGCGTCCTTCCACACCCCGCTCTTGTGCGTCCGTCTGCGTATTCGTGCCTCTGGAACGCACCGTGGAATGTATTCGACAAAGTAACAGGAATCGATCGGTACGCCCGGTATGGTCGACAAAAAGCGACAAGTCCGGCCTGACTGTCGCGCGTACCTTCGTGCGATTTAACGGTAACGGGACCGGCGACCTCATCGTCTCGTCGTCGGCTTCTTCTCTAACCGGGATCGACCGTGAGGGAAGTACCGTAGTGTGAGCGAAGGGTCGGCGCAGCTGTGCGTGTTTGAAATCGCCACTGTGGAGAAGGCGGGAAAAAATTGTCCCGACGCTCGGCAGAAGTCGGGAATTTCGTCGGATAGAATTTTTACTTTTCGATTTTCTCGATCACTCGCCGGAGCGAAGAAGCGAATTTATACATGAGTGCACCGCGTGTGTCACTTGTGAAAATTAGTTTTCTCGAGTTCTCTGCGAAATGTAAGCGTGTCGAGAGCGTTCGATTGATGAAGATGTTTATGCCCTTATGTCGTTTAGCGTACATTGACTTTTAGCCTGTCTCTCTCTCTCTCTCTCTCTCTCTCTCTCTCTCTCTCTCTCCATCTCTCTTATTCTCGCTATATGGTATGCGTGCGTGTGGATATACAGCGTGATTCGACGATTCGACCGCTCGTCTAAACGTGACGATTCGCTTTCTCGCCTAGAGAATTCGCTACCGCAGGTGACGTATAAATAGAATGCGCGTTCTTCCTGCGTGCTCTCTCACACGAGACGCTCTCTTCCTTCGGCTCTCTCTCTCTCTCTCTCTCTCTCTCTCTCTCTCTCTCTCTCTCTCTCTCTCTCTCTCTCTCTCTCTCTCTCTCTCTCTCCTCTCTCTCTCTCTCTCTCTCTTCTCTCTCTCTCTCTCTCTCTCTCTCTCTCTCTCTCTCTCTCTCTCTCTCTCTCTCTCTCTCTCTCTCTCTCTCTCTCTCCTCTCTCTCTCTCTCTCTCTCTCTCTCTCTCTCTCCTCTCTCTCTCTCTCTCTCTCTCTCTCTCTCTCTCTCTCTCTCTCTCGCCGCGTCTTTCTCTCTTTTTTCTCCGACCTTTCTTACACTTTTGCGCGTCGCCAGTCTATTTAAGCGAGTAATTAAGCGGGTATGGCAATTAAGCGCAAAGCGATGGGAAAAAAGAAAAAATGAAAAAAGTACACGCGATAAAGTCCTGGCATCCGAAAAGAGTCGATTTCGGAATCTTACGAGCCGAGGCCGGAGATATCGTTGATTTCACACGAAACAACGATGAATAAATGTACGAACAGATTTATTCACGATTATTGTTATTCACACTACACTTGAAAAAGTCACCCAATCATCTCGTCCTGGCTTCATTTTTGTCGTTTTCCCTTTTCGTTCAACAGTTACTACATGTGTGTGTCCATCACGTCCATCAAGGTCGCGGTGAATTTTTCCGAAATTGCCACATCGTAAAGATAAATATGAGGAATCGTCGACGGTTCCTTCGCGCGCGCGCGGGCACGATGACGTAACGGCTGTGCAAAGAGGAACAGATGGCCGTTCTCGAATGTCACGCAATTGAATTCGGTAATCGCCCATCTGCCGTGCACTCTTTGGTCACTGATAATGGTACTAACAGGCACGTCCTTGCACTCGATCGCGCGCGAATTTCGCGTGCAACGTCGCTCGTTTCCTGTATCGCGCAAGCGGCCTGGGAATTGCAACCGTGTTAAGGTAACGTTGCACCGCGATGAGGAAAGACTCTGAAATCATCCTACGTCCGCAGGCGAGAACCGCCGGCGATTGCCGCTGTAGTAGTATTTCGATATTCGTGACACTCGCTGTTTTCAGGTCGACATACTTTCTCATACAGTCGCTATTTGGTCGTGTAACCTTTCACAAATTTTTACTTCGAATTCAAATGAGATCGCGAATGCGCAATTAACCAACATATCTTAACCTTCGCATTCTGATTTATCCACCGTCGCGCCGGTCGATTTCACTGGTTGCTCGCACCTCGCAACTCAGTTACCAAACAGACTCGGAATTTCTCCCCCTAAAACTCGCAATTGTCAAGTCGTTACTTACCCGTGTGTCCAAAATTTCCATTATCTTCTCTTTCGCCGACCGTACGTCGTCCAGTCGTCCTGCGACCTTTATATGCGGATCTGCAAAGGAAACGGCAAAATTAAATTGGACGATGATCAATCTGCATTTAATCAATTAACGTAACAGAGGCCTGAAATAATTCAGCCGGCCAGAAGGACAACGCGCGGCGACTTCAAGTTGTGGAACACGACGTTGGCGGCAACTACTGACCGCAGAACCGATGTCAATCGATAGCCATTTAGAAGTCACTCTTAGTATTCGCGAAGCAAGCTTATGAACGCACGCACGCACGCACGCACGCACGCACGCATGCATGCACGCTTCTTCCTGAACGCGAGACCTTCAACTGTATAATGTGTTCCAAAGTCGAGTGCGGCTACGCGCTTATTGGCCGGGTGTATCGATCGTGCGTTTCCCGTATCGAAGATACAAGCCACATTCGAGGTCACTCCTCGAAAACACGAATCAATAAGACATGTTAACACGTTGAATGCCGTGGGGGTCACTTGGGGAATGCCACAGTGACTGGGGCACTCAACTTGGCCAGTGGCGTCGGGGGGTCATCGGTAATCGGCAATATCAAAATTAGTAAGAGCATTTAACTCAGATAAATGAGGATAATCGCGATATTATTAAAATTTCCAATATTCAGTCATTGTGTTATTACAATGATGTACAAAGGAACCAATGCGTCATAGAGCATATTTAAATAGTTTTATTAGTAACTATGTACATGTGTTATATCCGCATGTATAAAATTGAAATACACGATAAACAAAGAAAAGTGAACCAGTACAACCTTCACAGAGTGTAGCGACTTTTTGATATGATTTTTCGCAGTTGACGACACATTAAGGCTGTAAGGGCGGTCCAAGAAAATAAATGCAGGAGATGAAATGCAAATCAATGCATCGTGTACAGGAGTATGCAACGGGTATCATTATCTGATCATTGCGCAGAGTCGACGAAAAAAGAATGAGAGAAATAATTGAAGTATGGAGAGAAACAACTGACTTCGGTAAGAGATAAGTGAAATACTATATGTGCGCGAGATCGATCAAACGCACCGTTAACGCCGTTCAGAGAATCACCGGTAACCCCTCGCAGTAAAATAAATGCGTAGAGCTTGATAATACAGTCCAACTTAATCGTTTTATATAACATTTTACCATAATATACACTGCGTAACGAAAAATTTATTCCAACGTCATGGGCGAGTTATATAGAGTTGGCCCGGCATTCAACATGTTAATTAATCGCTTTCGCTGTATTCTCGCCATTTCGCGGCCCCCTGTGGCGTGAAGAATCTCCCGTATGGGAAAAAAAGAGAAAAAAACAACAAAAGGGAAAAATAAGTCTCTCTCCCGAGAGAGAGAGAGAGAGAGAGAGAGAGAGAGAGAGAGAGAGAGAGCGGCGAGGTATCCGCAAGTCAAGCGACGCACAATGATGCCGTATCATTCTCTCATTTTATAATAGTATCATTACGGCGCTGTGTCATAAAGTTCGTTTCTTATCTCGCTCGACAGAAAGAAAACGACGTTGCGTAAGGATCCCCTCTCGTGAAAACAACGACGCTCGGTGTCGTTTCGTTCGCACGAAACTGCACGACTTAATCACCCTCGTCATCCCCTTCGATCTCGCGAGCTTACGATTTGTGGCCGTGTGGCTACGTGTCTAGCACGCGAACGCCTATCACTTCTCGCGGCGCGGCGGCGAGTCGACAGTTATTTTTAGAAGCGACGTCCACTCTCGGACACGAAGTATAGCGTATAGCGGATGCCTCGTGCGTCGGTGCAAGACTTTAAGGCTCGCGATGACCTGACCTCTTTAGTCACGCCGAGCGTAGAAAGTAGAGACGGGAGTCCTGTTTGTGCAGACAGAGCGATAAGAGGTGCGTCGTTGCAGTAATAAGAGCGGGGCAGGTGTCGGGCAGGCTCGTCTGATAATCCGACTGATACCACCGGGATGTCGTGTAATAGAACGCGCGCAATATGTAATGCGCCGTGCGCTGTGATAATTTTCGTCGCTCGGAAAAACACGCGCGACGAGGAAAACCTCTCGGGCGGTCACGTCGCGACACGACACGCGCGGAAAAACCGCACCGCGGGGACGAAACGCACGAGGATAAAGTCGGAAGCGGTTGGACATTAAACGCACCTGGAAATTAGCAGGTGCGCGATACGTAACGCTTTATAAATAGGAGTCAATTACTGTGATTGATTAACGGATAATTGTCGGCAATAACAACGCGACGGAGTTTCCTGTACAATTCTTGTTGAAGAAAGCACTTTCCCTTTCTTCTTTCTTTTTTCCTTTTCTTTCTTCTTTGTTCATTCGAATTTGCATTCCGTCACACACACACACACACACACACACACACACACACACACACACACATACGTGTATCGTCTCGCAGCACCGACGTCGGGGACGTTTCATCGGTCATCTCCGTCGGCTGTACACCGACCATCCGAAAAGAACCACGCTTCATAAGTTAACTCGCTTAAAGGCGAATTCAATTAAGCGGGGACACAAAGCACTTTCCCGATACGACTTCACGGGGTATTAACTCGGTCTCGGTCGAATGTACGAGCCAGATGGATAATTTGGTGAAACAACAATATTACGAGTCACGCGATATCTGGTTTTCGAATTTTCTTGTTTACTCGGCAAACATGCACCAATCAATATCTGCCCTCTGGTACAAACAACTACGACGTGATGTAAGGATAGGTAAAGGTCAATCGACCCTGCGGTATTATCGCGGTATACGCTTTGCGATTTCAGTTTCGAAATGAACGAACGCGTGTCGAAGTTGAGATTGACAACTATAGGACGTAATTCCCCCTGTCTGTCTCATCTTCCGTCGTGATGCGTAATCTTCGTCTCTCCGCTCGTGTTATTTTTTCTTTCTTCTGTCGGTGTTACTTTACGCCGTACGACCTTACACTCGTCTTCATTTCGCCTACAGCGATATACAAGCGTTACGTATCGAGAGAGGAAGAGAGAGAGAGAGAGAGAGAGAGAGAGAGAGAGAGAGAGAGAGAGAGAGAGAGAGAGAGAGAGAGAGAGAGAGAGAGACAGCTACGGGTTATATGAGCCGAAGAACATAGCGTGTCCGGCTTACGTGACTCCTAACACATCGACGAACACACGCGGAATTAGAGTGGCGATTGTGCACTTACCGATTGACGCTTAATTCGCACACTGACAGTTAGCCGACGACCGTTTCGACCGGACGAATCTGGCTAATCCTGCTGCGCAAAATTCGCGACGGCGTTTTCGAAAGCGGGTCAAATCGCGAAGAGAGATACATTATCTCGATGCGAGAGAGATAACTCGATAATATCTATTAACCCTGAAGCACGCGCGATGTGTGTGAGTCGGTTTGATCCGAAACGCTGCCTCAAACCTAAATTTTATTTCGAGTGTTGCATTTGTGCTGATGATACATCACGGCGTAAGCATGGGATTTCGTATTAAGTTTTTTTACTTGAGACATTTTTTCACATTCGTCGATATTTTCCTTTTCATTCGTCGGGTATTTTGCGGCCAATTTCCATTTAGTAGATTTTAATAACAATTCGGGAGGTGATATCTTTTTCTTTTTTTTCAGAGCTTCGTGTCTGTGCTTCGTTCTAGTAATGAGTATTAATGAGCTCTAAGTCGGTATAATGCCGGGACTTTATTTTAAAATAAATTAAGAATGTCATTCAAGTCAAGCAATAACAAGTCTAAAAAAAAGAAAAAGCTATCGAAGCAGAGAATAAAACTGACTAGAAATCTCGCGATGACGCGGGAGCGTGATGTTTATTATATGCAAGTCACTCTCATAATTGCGTGCAACCCAAAAAAATTCAAAAGTATGTTTGAAATATTTATTTAATCGACCGAGTTAATTTGTATGCAATACTAATTAAGATGCTTCAACGGGAAAGAATCGACTTCGAGCCAGTTGGCGAATGTTTGGCGTGTCGACGCAACCGACTTTTCTGTATCAACGTAACGTATTTATACGAGACTTTTTACCGTAATCACAGAATTGCACGAGGTGTGCCGAATCGATCCGAGCACCACGACACACCACGGGCAAATTCATGGAGATTAACGACAGATTCCCGCCGGCCATCGACGTTTCCGCAATTATATTCAGAGAGTTATTAGAACTAGCGTAATAAAGCTCGCGAATGAATTGCAATAAGCCGTATATATATTGCTGCGCGCGCGTGTACATACATGTACGGTAAATCATATCAATTGCCGATAAATCATGCATGCCGATAATCTAGAGTCATGGCGAGCACCGAAAAGAGATACTCGGCGGACTTATTTATACCAGATTACATAGGCTGCCACGCACGGTCGGACTCGCGAAGAAAGAAATACGAGATAGAATGAGAGACGGATGGATGAGGGAGAAAGAGAGATAGAGAGAAAGAGAGAGAGAGAGAGAGAGAGAGGGCAGAGGGAAAGAAAGAGACAAAAAGAGACAGAGAATAAAGATGCAACAGCTGTTTAGGTCACGAGGAAGGGATGAATCACCGAAAAATTTCCATGGCGACTAAACGGGCGAGCGACGATTCGAGCGCACGACGGATCGATTCTCGCGTAATTTATTTGTCAAGAGAGATAAGTGACGAAATAATAATCTCACAATTGACGTGAAGAACACTCGGGACTCGAGACTCGGGCGACTAATCAATTCGCAGCACGAGGTCGCGCACGCGGTCATCGCGTCCTTTCGGTCTCGATGTTAAATACGGAAACCTTCGTATTTATCTGGAAGCTTTCGCCCCGATAACTCCGTCCAGTGGTTTTTAATGCGTCGCGCGGAATTTCTCGTCGTGCGTTTCGTCGAGCGAGATTTTTTCACGACCCGAACGATATTTTCACGCTGACGCAACGCGAGATATAGAACGCGACGCCTCTTCGCTCAAAATTACACTCTTCTGCGGCCTGTCGATCGACCAAAATTCCAGAAGGATCTTTGATACCGAAATTGACGTGAAAAAGGGATTTCTTTTTCCCTTTTTGGGGAGAAGAGCGTATACGTCATACACACATACATTCCCCCCGATATAAAAATCTCTAGCCGACTTTCGGCCTCGGATTTTGTCGGATTTTGTGTGCGTTTATACAGCGCCAGCGAGACGAAACTTTAAATAGCGATCGCAAAGCAACGTGTGCGAGGCGTCAGCTGACGAAGAGACACGACCCACGGCGATTGACGTAATCTGCGGACACACAACTACGCACGTCCCGACGCTTTGGCGAATTCGCGAAGGATCGTGAAAGGTGATTTTCGCGTCTCCCACGAGCACGCTCTCAAGGACACGTATCTCGTGGAATATTAATTCCACGTCGCCCTCGAGACTCTCGCGCCACTTCCGCACTTGCACGTCGTTCCTCACTCTCTCTCTCTCTCTCTCTCTCTCTCTTAAAATTACTATAAGGAGAATACCGAATGCAGTTATGCTCGGGCTCGCGCAATATATTTTTGGGCGAATCTTGATATATATACGCGGTGTCTCAAAACTACCGTGGCAAGAAACGCGGGCAAAGTTGTCCCGCGAGAGACCGCTCTTTTCCCGAAGAATCGAAGCGGTTATTGCGTGCGCCGTGACCTCGCAATTTTCATCGTCGAAAGTTTCCTCCCAGGTAGTTGCGATATTTTGTTTATCTCTTTATCTGTCGAAAGCCCGAGCTCTTTCGAAAACACGCGACACATCGAATCGATTCTCTCTATTTGTCAATTACATCAGAGATCGCAGATCACACAGCTGACGGCTCATACCTTTCTTCGACTTCGCCCCGATCTTCAGTCGCGACGGCCACGTAACGAAGGTATTCGTCTCCTCCATAACCTGCAACAATGCGGAATCGACATTAATGCCACGTGTCGCTGAACGGTTTAACGTTTAACGTGAAATGTGATGCTAAACAGTATACGAACAGTGTGCGAACGTGCGCAACGCTTAAATATTTCGTTCACTTTGCCGTGTTTCGTATTTTGTTGTTCGTCTTTCGTCATGTTCTTTTCTCGCTTTTCTCCGGAACACGAATTTTTTATGCAGCTGACGACGCAAGATTTACCGTGAGCGCGCATGATTTTTTGCATGATTATATATATTTATCCGTGTCGATGAGGAAATATCAGTCGCGATTGATTTCGCAAAGATTCTTATCGGTCCGTCAGGCTATCGGTTTCTTTTTTTTTTCACGTAACTTTAGTAATTTAATCTCTCGAACACGTAGTCCCGTCCACTTATCAAGGCGACTCGCGATTGTTATTTACCTACGAACGATCGTTCTTATCGGGCTTGTCGAGCTCTCTATCCAACTTTTGACCACTTTGTCTCTCTCTCTCTCTCCTACAATATTATCGAGCATTTAATTACCTTGCGCACGGAGCTTTCAGTTTCAGGCAGACGTTTACTGATTATTTCCGAACGCGAATTCTCTGTCTCTGCTAAACAAGCGGCCGTGAAGATCATTCGACAGTTCTCACGCCGGGTAGTCTCTATCTTTAGACGGATCTCCGCTCCTTTAACTTATTAACCCTCCGCGTGTAATTTCTAACTTTAGACAAAGTCGGCTATTTTTACTCGTACGAACTTGCGCGCGTAGCCTCTAACTTTGTGTAACATATTCGAGCGTCTCGCGCTACGATGAAGGCTCGGATGAAGCTGGGATTTAAAATTAATACACCACTCGTGTATCTCCCCGCGACCTCTGACTCGCAGTGAAATGATACGATCTACGATTACGTTAAACCTTCGCATCTCTCGTCTCCGACTTTAAACGAAAGAATTGAATGCACAATCGTTGGACTGTCCCTGACTATGTTCGCACTCATATTTTATACGGCACATTCGGCGCGCTAAACACAGCGCGCGCATAAACATGAATGTCAACCGTTGACTTTGGAACCGAATGCGCTTCGACTGCATCGTCGAGCTGCGTCGAGCTGCGGGCAAACGATCATCGTCATTACCACAGTCATTGTCGTTGGATGTAAATCCGATGTCCCACCGTCGTCCACGTGCGACGTCTCGGTTCGTCGCGGTTCGACGGAAAAGCAGAGAGAAAAAATAGGGATTGAGTAAGAGAGCGAGAGAGAGAGAGAGAGAGAGAGAGAGAGAGAGGGGGGGGGAGAGAGAGATAGAACAGGTTCGGTAGAGAAGGAGAGAGACCGCGAAGCACACACGCCACGTTGGCCACGAGTCACTGTTAAAAAGCCGAAGTCTCAAGGAGGGGACAACGACATGGCGACCTCGGCAGAAACTTTCACGATAACGATAACAGGTCACTCGGCACTACGCTCGCGCGAGCACCGTCAGCACCGGCAATCGCGCGACGGTGTCGATGCGGGTGTATCGAGAGACACCGGCTTTACTTTCACCACCAGTCCAGCCCCCGCACACACCGTCAATCACGATTAAATATCCCGGAAGACTGTCGCGAAGAGCGCGCGCACGCGCGCGCGCGCGGTCGCTAATTAACCGACTTCGTGGTTCCACCACGCAAGTCGCAAGTGGCGGAGGAAGAGTTTCTCGACTTCTCACGCGGCAGATCACACGGCAGCCACTCCGGAACACACGAGTTTTGTCGCCGTGGGGCACGACCAAGTTGCCGGTCGTGAGCGACTGGGTCCTCGACTGTGTCTATCACTATCGGCGTGCGATGCGATGAATCGCGATCGATCGATCGATCGATCGATCGATCAAGTGGCGATTACGAATCACTCGAGTGTAGTGACTTCCTTTCTTGGATCACTCCGCTCCAGAGGGTCGCGATGCGCGCGCGTCTCTCTCTCCGTCTCAGAGCTGCACTTTGACCTCACTCGAAACCGCGGCGATTCGATCAGTCGATCCGTTTCGAACACGCGTCGTGCTGGTGCACACCGTGTCAGGCTACGATTGCAACGAGCCGACTCCGTCTCAACCGCCACGGGATCGCTGGCACGACTGACTGACTAACGCGAGATAATATAACGGGTCGGTCTGGGCGAACCACCTCCCACTCGCCGCTCTGCCGCGTCACGGCTCCGCTCCGTTCTTCGCGCCGCACTCCACGTCGCACTCCGTCATCGCGACCCTGTCCTCCGCCCGCCGCTCCGCGAGCCCCTCTTCTCACCTTCGCTTCCTCCACCTGCGACCTCCGCGACCACCTCTCGCGAAGGACCGACTCTCGGAGGCCTCGGACGCCGGCCGCGCCGGAGAACGCCGGTTGACGAACCTGGAGGACCGTGCAGTTCCGCATCCACGTCGCGCTAAATGTGTTGTGTGCCGGCTAACAGCCGCTCCGACAATTGACAATTATCTCCGAGAGCTCGGTGAGAGCACGAGCACACGCTTCGCGATTCGTGTAATCATTTGTACTTCATTTGTTCAATTTTCCCCGCTAATAACCGCGTTTCCATCCCGCAATCGCGCGGCGGCACTGCTTTTGCTCCGTACGACTGAACGCACGAGAGAGAGAGAGAGAGAGAGAGAGAGCCTCTCGCCCCAGCATCGTTGCTTAAATCTTAACCAAACTTCCAATTCTATGCGCAAGGATCAGTTCGATTTAAACGACGCCGCTAAAAGCGAGCGTTAATTACTCCGCCGCGGCCGCTCCAGGCACGAATCCAGACGCAAGAGTGTGCCTACGTAGAACACGAATATACGAGTATATATATATATATATATATATATATTTTTACCGCGGTAACTGCTAGTATGATTCCGCGGAACATTACGGTGACTCATCAGCGATTGCCTCATTGGCGAAGATACTCGTGCGCCGCTCGTGCATACGCGCTCGAGTCGATTTGTGCGCGATAGCCTTTAGACTTGGTCGCGACGTGGACATACATACGGCAGGCCGCTGGCTCGCCGCTAATGCCGCGTTCACCACCCGATTTCCCCGCCTCGTTTCACAGGCACGAGCGATTTTCCTCACGTGATCCTTCTCAACGAGAAAGCTCCACGAGGTAGCTTTGCCGGCAGTGGGGCGTTTCGCGCGAGCCGATCCGGCGAAATGGGTGCCCCGCTGATACGGCGTATACGTGGGCGATCGTTAGCCGGGTTGCCTGCCGTGGCCAGGTGCGAGGAACTAGAACTTAGCCGACGACCGACCTTGGATCACGCTCACTTGGTATTCCGCGCGCACGAGCGCAGCATTATGCCGCTGCTCTACGGAGGAGACGCAGTCGCCAGCCATGTTTTCGCATTTCTCACCGCTCCGCGCGATAACGGGCTTCTTTTTCTCTTCTCTTTCTCTCTCTCTCTCTCTCTCTCTCTCTCTATGTAAAGGAAGGTTCTCTCGTGCGAAGCTCCTCCAGCGACTCTTCCTCCTACCGCCGAGGAACCGCCGAGTAAACCTGTCCTGTCCGATCGAGTCAGAAATGCAGACTTCTCTCTCTCTCTCTCTCTCTCTCTCTGTCTGTTATCAAGCGACACGCTGACGACGGCTGGCGCTGTAAAATTCGCGGCAACAACAATGGCGGGCTACGTCCGCTGCTGCTGCTAAAATTATGTCAGATGTGAGCGACTGGCCTCCCTCCGCTTCGCGACCCGACTCTCCGCGGTATTTTTAGGCCGCGTGGCAATTCGGTGACGGAAGACGCATAAGAGGATTGAACCGGAGACACGATCGATACGCATGGTGTAGTATCGCACATATCGCGTCCCGCGTACTTCCACCCACTGGCTCTGACCAATTTAGACAGCGGATCGGTCCAATCGTCGAAATCGCCGAGAGAGGCTGAAATCGTTCGACTCTTTGTGCGACTCGCCACCGCGCGAACATCGCGCGAAAACTAGTGGCGAGTGAACGGCAAAGTCGGCGAAAATAATGAAATCGGTGATTTCATTTGTGCCTGAGAGGGACACTCATTCGCGGAGCGAATAGCCTTCTCCGAGTGACGGAACAAATTATAACTAATGAAATAAATTTGTCAGCAACATATACGCAAACATCGTGATATACTCGCTCGCATACGCGCGCTTGATGTTATCTACACTTTTTTGGCACGTGATAATTCATGACTGCTTGTGGCGCGAGCATGTGCTTTATTATCGAAATAAAAGCAGATAAATGTATATCTGCGTAGGTGTGTTTGTATATGCGTTTTTGTGTACGCTCCTTCTTCGTAATCGAATTATCGAGGGCAGAGAACGTGCATCGAGCAGCAAACCGAATTGTCGCAAAAACATTCGGGGTTTTATCTCGAACTTGACACGTGATATTGATTAAAGGAACCAGATACGTGAAATTCGGTCTGAAAACACTTTCTAATCATGCTGTGTACATCGATTACGCAACGAACAAGACATTGTCCGCTTTCAAAACAACGATTTATTCGTTTATTCAATTCCTTGCTAATAATCCCTCGAGTAATTCAGCGTTCAGTCGCAAAAGCTGTTTTTAATTGCGGATAATCGAAACATTCCGGAGAGCGAAATTTCGAGCTGTATTTTATCTTCCTGCAATTTTCGAGCTGATCCTGATTTGCGACGTTTTCTTTTTCTCGATACCATCTCGTTTGATTCGGTGGAGGATCAAAGGACTCGGCGTCTGCGGGCAAACTATCCGATCACGCGTACTCGACGAACAATTCGCGGAGACCCCGATATTACTTAATTGATAAGAATTTAATTTATCGGCGATACGTTCGTATATATACACGGCGCTGCGCAAAACGCTGACTTATCGCGTATTGCAATTGAAAAACTCACATAAGTAACAGGCTCAAACTTCACAAACTTTTACCGATCTGACCGCTTCCCAGTGTAGCGTTCCAGATTAGATTAAAATATGCAAATACGTGTATTTTCTCGCGCGATAAAACATCTTGTTGAAAATTAAGATAACCGTGTGTTTAACACGCATATTTAAACCTTAAAAAAGAAAAGGAAACTTATTGCTTACTGCATCGTTTCTAGAGCCTCCTCTCCTTCCCTCAATCTAACGTTCTGTGTCTTTAGAGCAAAAATTTTCTGGACTAAAATTAGTAACTGAAAGGTCATATTTGGAGAAACGGGCGATTCTTGACTGCGATTCATTAGCCAGGACGCCCGATATAATCTAAGACGGTCTAAAATGCGCTTTCCGGTCACATATCGTCGACCACGGTGGTTATCAGGAGCGTGAGCGTGTTATCTTCACCTCGAGTCGTTTACTTTAGCGGTGTGTGTCACCGGCAGATTATTCACATACGCGCGAATACGACCTCAGCAAAGCGCGCGCAATTCGACGCTGCATATGTTTGATGGGCCGAATATTCGGGGGGGGGGGGGTGGGGTTCGCGAAGAATGTGTAAATGATGCAACGCGCGTTGGTACGTTGATGTGTGCGCGCATCGAACAACACGCGTGTGCGTGTGCTAGATTAAACTTCGCGAAAACACGATAGAGTGTGCGAAGCGCATGCTTGGATTATTATTGTCGGAACGAGAAGAACGAGTTATACGGGACTGTGTGTGTGTGTTTGTTTGTGCGTGTAGAGAGACAAACAGATTGCGAGTTATATCACATTCGACATTCTCGAACGTATCGCATCTGCCTCTCGCGAAGGACAAACTTGCGAAACGTTCGTGAAATATGAAGGTGTTAAATTTTCGTGCAAGCAATTATCACTGGCAATATTAAAGTGTCGAAAAGCGAAAATTGGCAATGAGAGACGTCGATTTTATAGAGCCAGGATAGGAAGTTAGAGATCGGCTTTAAAATTTTCGCTAATTCCGAGACACCGTGTACGTTGCTGCACGAATCTAGCTTCCAAGTATTGATACCTAGTTGCGATATCGACCCTAAGGAAGTATTCAGTATTCCAGAGGAAAAAGGATCGGTGCCTGTAAAATAGTCGACTCGGTAAAGATATCTCGATAACATCGAGATATCTCAGGTATCCTTAAGCGGACGAAGTCAAGTAAACAGGCTCGATGTTGCGCAGACTCGCGAGTGTGCTGTGAAAGAAGTTAAAACGTAACATTGCCACAGAACGTAACAGCTGTCTTCGTGGACAAGAAGTGGAATAATATTTACGTAATGCGAAATATTGCACTTCTTCGACCGTGCGATTAAGAAGCGAACGCGTCGAGCGAGGAAGCAAGAACGTGGCCGTAAAAATTAAGACGTAAGATCGCGCGTAAAGGAAATTCCTCCTTGCAATTCTCGTTGGGATCGGCATCATGTTCTCCGCGAAGGAAAAACCTCGTGCGTTTGCGAGTCGTGAGAGAGAACAAAAAATGATGGATTGCGATTGCAATGTGACGTTTAGAATCGTATTTGGGACTCCGAGCCGACGATGACATTCAATCATACAAAAAGACACAATTACATTTTTTAATTATCCTGACCTTGAGATAAAGCGCCGATCGGCATCGACACAATGCTGCATCAATCGCGACGGATCTCAGCCTCGATAATTATGTCGTCCGTCCCAATGAATTAAAGATACTTCTAGACGTTTGAGTTACAATAACAATTACTCTTCACTGAAGTGTGTATGCGTGAGAGAGAGAGAGAGAGAGAGAGAGAGAGAGAGAGAAAGAGAGAGAGAGAGAAAGAGAGAGACAGAAATGAATGCACGCGCACACATTAATTGATGAAACACCGACTGTAGCGCGATATCTCACTCGTTGTTATCGATATCAAAGTGCCAGCAACGGTCAAGGATTATGCTGTTGCGCTATAATTAACGACAGTATCGTCACATCAAATTGAAAGAGAGGAAGAGAGAAAGAGGGAAAGAGAGAAAGAGAAAGAGAGGAGAAGGAGGGGAGAAAAGAGAGAGAGAGAGAGAGAGAGAGAGAGAGAGAGAGAGAGAGAGAGAGAGAGAGAGAGAGAGAGAGAGAGAGAGAGAGATAAAGGGGAAACAGAGTGAGGGCAAACGACGAAATTCGTCACATTCGAAGTGTGCCACGCCGAACAGCCTGGAAGAATTTTTCTATACGTCAGCGAGATAATACACCGAATGTGCGCGCGTAATCACGTGCCTGGCATGGAATTACTCGAAAGCGGGGAAGCTCGACTCGGTGTCATTAAAACTGTTCTATAAATAATCGACCGGTGTATTTCCAGAGACCGTCTCTCTCTCTCTTCTGCCGTTTACGCAACGACGATAATGATAAGCAGGAACATTGCCTTCGAACTTGCCTGGTGAACGGTTCTCTTTCTCTCTCGTTGCGTTGTGAACGTGCGACATAAGGCCCACGCGGCCTGTACGCTCGTACTATCAACACACGTTATCACCGTGACGAAGTCACGGTTTTAATT